CACTACTAAAAAGGTCTATATAGTCCAATCGGATTAGACTTTAAAAATACTGTTTTGAGAACTAATTAAAATTATTATTAATCAAACATTTTCGGAAGGGTGTCAGGATATTAGGACAATAGTTTGAGACCAGTTGCCGGTTGCGAAACATTGTTTAAATAATCAAAGAAAACTCGAAAAATAGGTTTTTTGTGTTCAACTTTTGAACCGAACGCTACTGAAAAAAAGTTTAGTAATTTTTTATAGGTATTAAAAATACCTACCAAATGAGATGCGCTGGATCAAAATTCGTTAATTAGTTTTCTTGCAAAACTCAAAAACAGTCATTTTAGCGGTTTTTTCAATTTTATACAGGGTGTCCCAGAATAACGTGTACAACGGAAGACCACAGATTCGTGGACTCAAAATAGGCAAACCTATATCCGAAATGGCTTCGTTTGGCCACTACACTAGATGACCTCGAAGTTTGAAACCAGGTGGTTTTTGTAGCTTTTGAGAGGTAGATTAAAAGTGTCAATGGGCGCCAAGCCCTAAAAATTCATGGTTCAAAGTTGCAGCTCGCTGAAGCTACAATGCTTTAGATTTCACTACCTGCATAGTATAGTAAAAAAATACTACATTTTTGCTCAATGCCCAATAACCCAACAACTCAATAAACTATCGCCGATATATCGAGACCTCTGATTGAAAGGGTTAAAAACGATATTGAGATGATCTTTCAGATCACGATCACTAAAATCGATTTTTTACAATTATTATCGTACAATAAAAATCATAGCGATTACCTTCTGCATTTGCATGACCCGATATACACAACGCGGGGAGGTTGCTAGATCGGACTTAGCACATCATGTAGCCCTAAAGGGCTGATTTTCAGAGTTGAAAGATCCTGTCTAGCAGGAATCTAATGCCTTAACCTAATACTTCAATATTATTTTCGTTCTCATTGCGTGCATCTGATGTTGAATTCAGCAAGGATTCATCGGGGTACTTGATATTATTTTGATGCCGCGCGTAGCCTAAAAACTACAAAATGCAGGCTATATGAGCGCATGTACCCAACGTCCGGACACCAAATTGACATGTGCAATAATATTCTATTATGTTATCGGCATCGTCAGTATCGTTAATTCCGTCTCCATCAGCATTATTGTAAGTTATAAATATTTGGTGGTTAACAGCTTTTCGAAACCTGGAGTAAACCCTAACTCTTATAAAGCCCCGTTCATTTACATGAGTCGTCTACATGAACGTCTAGTTGAAATTCTTCATCATTTTCCGTCACGATTTTATCTGGACATAAGAACAGGAAAATCAGGGATATAATCACGATGTAAACTTATCCATTGACCATTTCTTCTCACAAGATTTTCTACTTCAACTTTGGCTTGAACGATATTAGGAGTTTGCGATTTTAACAACATTTGTTGAGCCAGTTCAACAGTTGCACCTGCCATGTCTATAACGGGATGATACCTATTTATTAGAGCACCAGCAATGCGATAAAAGTCACCAATATAAGTTGCATAATATTAAATATATTACCAAATATTTTAAAAATAGATCGGAATTGCCCATTTCTGCTTTCAACTATCCATCTACTTTTTGTTATGATACGTGAATTATTCGCTTCTTCTGTGGATAATTGTTTTCTTCCAGGCACAAGTAATGCAGGCATTCAATGATCGATGATCGATGATCGATACCCAACTGTTGCAGAAATGGACATGCATCTCGGTAACTTATATCAACCAAAGCGATATCACCATCATGAAACCAGTGTCTTAACGAATTTCCATCGTTTCGAAGTTCATCTAGTAAGATTTCAGCGTCATTGTTTGTGCAATCAGAAAAGTAGGGACCAAATATTGCCAAAATGAACCCATCAGGTACTACAACTATAGTGTTGGTTTCAAAAGTTGTCGGCCTTTATGTACGAAAAATGATTGACATAATACTCGAAAACAAGAGCTTTTATGTAAATATACATAAGTACAGTACTATTAATGATAATAATAGCATTTGGTTCATTTAGTTGAGGATTGCAGGATTGTAATTTTGTCTTTTTATTGATTCCGGTCCGATATTTCCTGGAATGAATCTTAATAATAATGATCGATAACATCACTTACAGCTTGCCGATGACTGTAATAAAAAATAACTTTTAAAAATTCATCACTCAACCCTTGTTTCAACGTGCACAAAAAAGTGAGTTGGTTGACGAGCATACAAATGAACGGAATAAGATGTTATAGCACATGTTTAGATTTTAGGCACATGAGCTCGTATTGGCTGCATTGTTGGTTTTTAGGCTACGAGCGGCTTCGAAATAATATCAAGTACCTACTCCGATGAATCCCATGATGTGCTAAGTCCGATCTAGCAACCTCCCCGTGGTGCACATTGGGTCACGCAAATGAAAACGGCAATCGCTATGATTTTTATTGTACGATAATGATTGTGAAAAATCGATTGTACTGATCGTGATTTGAAAGATCATCCCAATATCGTTTTTAACGCTTTCAGTCAGAGATCTCGATATATTGGCGATAGTTTATTGGGTTATTGGATTATTGGGCATTGAGTAAAAATATAGTATTTTTTTACTTTACTATGCAGGTAGTGAAATCTAAAGCATTGTAGCTTCAGCTACAAAAATCACTTGGTTTCAAACCATTTGACCGAAAACCAATTTACATAAGGATTCCGGCGGGGTCGTTTTTGTGTTAACTAATAAATATTTGTCTGGGAAATCCAGTCTATAATTTCGTGAATATCAAAATCATCCAATACATCAAAGTCAGAATCTGAATCCATTTCAAAGTTCTTAATGATGTCTTAACACCACTCACTCATTCACAGTCCACAGGAATAAGGAAGAAATACCTATTTAAAAAAAAATTATAACTAGCAGCTAAGTACTGTCAATAGTGTCAATTTATGTTTTCTTATTAATCCTATATTAATACATAGATTTGAAACGGAGAAAACAAAATGTTGTATTTTAATCCAAGTTCAGACTTAATCCTGGATTAAACACTACGGTGCAAACGGGCATAAGTCATTGTACCTGTCAATTTTTAATAAGTGTTTGCTATATAAAATGTACCACATGTTACTTCATTTTTCTATATGGATTCACACATACGACGAATTAAAGTTATTTACAACGTGCCTAATTTTATTTAATTAATTCGTAAAAACAATTAAGTGCAATAAAAATGCTGGAGATAATAGTAACAAAGTTGAGGTTATTCTTCCAATAACTCGGGTTTTGCAAAAATTCTAAATAAAATTCCCCATTCAGTCTATTGGGTAGAATAACAGGGCCAATAATAATGCTATCCCAAATAAGATCAAACTGAAATTACAGTCAACCTACAAAATCAGAGCCTACTAGCACTTTGGTAAGTATTATAATATGGGTGGCAAGATAATGTATACATTTAAAAAATATTTCTTTGTATCCAAACCGATCATTTAATCAAAATTTTATAAGAGGCTCATTGGCATCACCTATCAAATAAAAAATAGCTATTATTACTGCCGGAAAGAGGAAAAAGTTATGAACGGATATTATCATTATACATCAATTTTCTAGGTGTTGTAAGCTTTAAAAAACACTCTGTATAACGCCAAAATGTGTAGATTGAAAGCAAAAGTCCACACCCCAAAAATAATCAGAATCGAATAATACGTATTCGAGTTACGTATTCGAGTTATTTACAGAATTCAAAAAATTTTCACGAACTTTCAGGCCATCTAGCTGCCAAACGAAGAGATTTTGGATATAGATGAATTAGTATAAATCTGCCTATTTTGAGTCCACGTTATTCTGGGACACCCTGTATAATTCAATTAGTTTTCCTGCTAAAAAATCGTTCTATAAGTTTTTTTGAAGGTATACTTAATAAGTGGTATAAATTTTAGGTCGAAATATTTATTAGTTTTTGTTATTAAAAAAAGGCTCTTGGCAAATTCTAATTTCTACATCTTTGAGACGTCATAGAGACTTGTTCAAGGACTTGTCACATCGATTATTTAATTCAGCTCTGGAGCTGATATATATTTTTTTTCAACTTCAACTTTCAAACTATTGTCCTAATACACCCTTCTGAACATGTTTGATTAATAATATACCTACCCTCTTTTAATTAGTTTCGATTGGACTAATAGTGGTAATAATGTAATTATATGATTCAGCTTCAATAGTACTCTCTATAAAACTATGACTGAAACATCTACTAGAAAACGTAAGATGTGTGGCAAAAGCCAGATGCGTGTAATTTATGGGGCGGTTTTCAGAAAGATTGGGACCCAATAGTTCTACTAGGTCCCTTGAAGAAACAACCACTGTCAAACAAGGGTCAAGTAGTATAGGCGTCGTGTATGTATTTAGAGGGTAGTCTGAAAAGTTTTTGTCGCGGGGAACTAATAAATTTACAAACCGGTAATTAGAATAAGATCATGAAATTCCAAAACACTAGGCAAAGTAAGAAACCCATGTTTGTAATAACGCGCGAAACACCAGAAAGGCGTACAGATTCCAAATCAGAGTTAAATTTAGTTGCGAAATTGATAATTGGAAAAGAAAGATAGATGAAAAGCTGTTTTTTCCGGCCGGTTTTTTCCCAGCTATAAAACAATGGAATGATATAATATTGACCAGCCCGTCTCGTATCGTTTGCGGTACGAGGTCACTAGAGGAAGGAATAGAGTCACATTCTAATGTAAACCAAGACACACGAGTGGGAACTGAGGGTTGTACAGGGTGTACCAATGGTGATGTCCGACTGGATCTTTGTCATTTGAGGAGATTCGAGGTTAGGTGCGTGGGCTGAGAGGATAAAAGTTATCGGTCATCATCAACAAAAGTGGGAAAGGGGGTACAATCTCTCTAATACTCTCTACTCTAATTTCCTGTGTTATATTTCCTCTCTTTTTCCTGATAGAAATAGGTAAGTCAAACAGGTATATAAATAACACGCGCCTCGCGTAAAATGGACGTCCCAGTAGGGGGCGAAAAGCCCCCTGACTGGAATGAAATGATACTTAGTCAAACGGATCAAGTAGTAGAAATAATGGAAACTTCAGCAAATATTAAACCTCATACTGAAAAAAGGAAAAAATATAATTATTCGTACACAGATGCAAGTCCTTATGAAGTTCATGTTCAGCACAAAAACGGGCATAACATAGGTAACTACAACCACTTAGCTATAGCGAAAGAGCTCTTTAATCTTAATTTAGAAGGTATAAGTAAAATAAACAAAAAGGGGAAAAACAGAATCAGTGTAGAATTTAAGAACTTTAACATAGCAAACAATTTTCTAAACAACGAGATATTAATTAGCAAAGGGTACGAACTATTTATTCCAATCAATAACGTAGCATGCAGGGGTGTAGTCAGATTTGTAGACAAAAGCATCACAGACGAGGAATTAAAGGTCTATAGTAGGTGCAAAAATCCAAATATAAAAATACTAAACGCGAAGAGACTTAACAGAAAAGTAACGGAGAACAATGCGACAAAGTTTATTCCCACGGGAACTGTTTGCTTTACTTTTTCGGGGAAGAACCTACCTAAGGAGGTAGCAGTGTATAATTTAAATATGAAAATTGAACCTTATATAAGTCCTGTAATCCAATGTTATAACTGTTTAAGGTATGGTCACACTAAAATGCAGTGTAAAGGAAAAAGCAGATGCATCAGATGTGGAAGAAGTCACGAGGAGGAGGGAAATTGCCCGTTCCCTATCAAATGCGTTCATTGTAAGAGTGCAGAACATTTGGCTACTGACAGAATGTGCCCGGAATTCTCTAGGCAAAAACAAAAAGAAACAATGGCTCTGGAAAACTTATCATATTACGACGCCCAATTGAATTTCTCAAAACCCAACGAGAACAGCCAACCTCCCTACTCGTATTTACTGACAGAATTTCCTCCCCTGCCAACCCCTTCCAGGGTGGATACCCCAATAAGAAATAAACCAAGCCATGGGAACATACAAAGAAGTTTCATCTCTCCCGTTCCATACTTTGAAAACAAAAGCAGGTCTGAACAGCACAAGAAGAGGAAAATACAGCCAATGGCATATGACAAGGATTTGCATAACGATTGCCTTAATTCTCCGAATGGGAGAAGCACGAGCACATACTTCATTCTAGATACACCATCCACCTCCAGAAATACAGAGACAGGTAACTATCAGTCAGAGGGGGAAATCATTGCCCTACTAACTGAAATAACTAGACAAAATAGGGACGTGGTCCTCAAGTTTTTAGCAACAATAATAAATAATACTCCAGATAATGTCCAGTTGTCCAATAGTAAACACACCTAACATGCGTCCACTGTCAATTGTACAGTGGAACATGCGTAGCATGAGTTCCAATCAGAATAACTTAGTGTTGATCATCAAACAGTTTAACCCAGACATAATAGCGCTAAATGAAACATGGCTAAGTACGGCAGACAACTTTTCTCTCCCTCCGTATATTGTATACAGAAATGACAGACAAGATGGATTTGGGGGTATTGCATTATTGATAAAAAACAGTACAAAATTTTCCATTATAGACCTAGACACGACACTTGTTTCGACAGACACACAGGTACAGGGGGTTCACATCCCGGAATGTAATATCTCACTAGTAAATATATACAACCCTCCGCAATCAAAAATCTATCCCAGAGCGTGGGAAAAACTAATCCAATCGTGTCCAAGTCCGCGTATCATTCTGGGCGACCTTAACGGGCATCATCCTATGTGGGGAAGCGCAGACCAAAATTTCAATGGCAAAATAATAGCAAAATCGCTAGACAGTTTACAGATCTCTGTGCTAAACGATGGAACACCAACGCGGTTGACGCCGCCGAATCAAAAAAAGTCAGCAGTTGACATAACCCTTGTCTCCTCAGACATAGCGCCAAAATGTACATGGGAGGTAATAAACGACTGCGGAATGAGCGACCACTTCCCTATAATCTGCCACTTAAATCAAGGTCTCGAAAAAAGACGCATAACATTGCCCAAACGAAGACTTGAAAAAAAAGCAAATTGGAAGCAATTCCAAACAAACATAGAGGAAAAAATTGGAAGTACCAAAGGTCTAAACTATGAATCTTTTGTAGAAATCATCAATGATGCAGCAGAAATCAGTATCCCAAGGTCAAAGGACAATCAAAAGTCAAATCGCCCGCCAGCTCCATGGTGGGATGACGAATGTGCGCGGGCCCTGGAAGACAGGAAAAGAAGCCTTTCCATTTATCGAATAGACCCAAGTCTAGAAAATTACCTACTGGTAAAAAATCTATCGCGCTCTCCAGAAGAACATTCAAAGGAAAAAAAAAGAGATAGTTTCAGGAAGTTCTGCTCTGAACTAAATAGGAACACGCCATTGAAAAAAATTTGGCAAACAGTAAGGAAATTTTCCAAAATACAATCCCCACAAATTCAAAACAAGCTACCAGAACGAAACATAGCCATTCAAATACTAGAATCAATGAGTGCAGTCCATATAATTCCTGACTTTAGATTCAGACAAGGAACCAACGAACCTCCGTTTCTATATGTAGAACTAATGGCAGCCATGAGAAGAAAAAAAAGTTCAGCTCCAGGCATCGATCAAATAACATACACGATGATAAACAACTTACCAATTGTAGCTAATAGATTCCTATTAAATCTGTACAATGAAGTTTTGTTCGGGACAAACCAACCCGAGCAATGGAAAGGGATCTTAGTAAACCCCCTGTCAAAGGTCGGGAAAGACGCGAACCAGCCAGAAAATTACCGTCCCATAGTTTTGAGCTCTTGCATAGGCAAGATTTTAGAGAGCATGATCAAAAATAGGCTTGAATGGTACATTGAAAACAAAGCATTACTCCCACCATCGCAGTTCGGGTTCAGAAGACGAAAAGGATGCATAGAGTGTGTTGCATATTTAACTTCATATGCACAAATAGGCTTCAGCAGAAACGAGGTTACACTAGCTGTATTTCTGGACATCCACGCTGCCTATGATAATGTAAACATATATAAATTGTATGAGAGACTCCTAGACTTGGGCGTTTCTCATCAACTCACAAACTTGGTATTTCAGTTTCTGCATAACAAACAAATACATCTCAAAGACAGTGAAGGGCAGATACTCGGTCCGAGATTAAACAATAAAGGGTTATGCCAAGGATCCCCGTTAAGCCCAATACTCTTTAACATATACACGTCTGATTTGGCAAATTCCATCCCTGAACAGTTTCGACTGGTGCAGTATGCCGACGATATAGTAATAATGACTAAAGGTACCTCCGAGACAATTCTAACAAAGGAAATGAATCTTGTTTTAGAGAATGTAAACGAATGGTTAGGGAGACACGACTTGACGTTGTCCACCACCAAATCTTCGGCAATCATGATCAGGAAAAAAAATCCAGGCACCCTTACCCATCAATATCCATCAACAACCATCTGATCCCCTGGAAGAACTCGGTAAAATATCTAGGAATCAAAATAACACAGTCCCTAAATTGAAACGAGCAAGTAGAACATGTCAAAACAAAAGCCCTAAAAGGAATCAACATAATGAAATCACTTTGTGGTACATGGTGGGGAGCAGATCCATCGACATTGCTACTCATGTATAAAGGAATTGTACGTTCACATCTCGATTATGGTTCACAGCTGATGAAACCCTGCCCGAAACAAGTCCTTGCCAAATTGGACAAAATGCAATACCAAGCACTAAGAATCGTGACAGGATGCATGAGGTCCACCCCAACTAACGTACTATTAGCAGAGTGTGCTGAAATGGCACTGGAGTACAGGAGGAAGTGGTTAGCAAGTAAATTTGTACTAAAAATAATCGCAGAACAAGAACACCCAATCTCAGAACTATTACTAGAACTGGACAGCTACTGTCAATCCAAACGAGGTTACTGGACACGGAGGGAGGTGCCATACATTATTGAAGCGCTAGAAGAAGTAGATCAACATGCGAACAACATACATGCGGAAAAAATCCTACCATGTTTCGAAATAGAACACGTACATCAGATAACTCCAATTGAAGTTGCTAACATTAACAACGACAGAGCGCAAATAAACAGCAACAAAGAATTTCTAAGTATATTTGGACCAAAGTTTGAACAGCATACCTGGATCTTCACCGATGGTTCTCTCGACAAAAATCAAGGAAACGTGGGACTAGGAGTGTTCATCCCAAGCATCAACCACAAATTTTCAGCAAGACTTCCTCAACTCACACAAATATGCACTGCAGAAGTTATAGCGATAAACAAAGCCATTACCATATGCCTAGAGAGGAACCTGGACAAGTCAGTAATATTCTCGGACTCAAAGTCAGCTCTACAAAAAATCTCGAGCACGGAAATCAACAAAGATAGGGACCACATTTCTCTGAAAACAAAAAGAATGTTGTTAGAAGCAGAGGCAAACGGCTGCGAAATCAAATTGGCATGGATTCCGGGTCACTCCAACATCCATGGGAACCTAGTGGCAGACACACTGGCAAACATTGGAAGAAATTCTGAAAATCAAGTAGAAGTAGAACTAGACAAAAATGATGTCCTACCAACAATTAAGCAGCAAATACAGGCTAAATGGAAACAAGAATGGAAATTGAGTACAAATTCACGAGGTTTCAGCTATGCACAGATAATAAAGGAGTTCCCAAGTTCCCCATGGTTCACCTTGTTTCCATATAAGGACAGAAGGCATCTAACAACGATAATTAGAATGAGAACAGGTCATTGTTTAACCAACAAGCATCTGCACAGAATAGGAATTCTGACTCACCCGTATTGTGAATGTGGACAGGTGGGTGACTTAAATCACATCATATTGGAATGTCCACTAAATAAGAATCCTAACTTTGACTTATATCAGGAATTATCCAAAGCTGGCACGCAAAACCCCTTTTCGATTACCACTTTGATAGAAAAACTTAATTATCAAACGATCTCCATACTGTTGAAGTTCTTAAATCTTTGCTGTGTCAAATTGTAATCCATTTGTATTTTTTTTTTTTTCAGAAAAACCTATGACCCCATCTTTTTTAACCTGGGTGCTTCTCTCTAATCCGAGGCAACGTTTCGGTGTGTGTTAAGGCTCAGCTGTTGCCCCCGAGCGTGAAAAGTCTATCCTGTGTTGTGTTGTTTACTAACCCCATTTGCACTCCCGCTCAAGATATAGGAATCAATCGAGGGAATATGAATAACCAATCTCAGATGCACTTCACGGTGCATTCCCTTGAATAATAAAAAACAATTACATAAGAAGCTGGCTAAATACCCTCTGGGTGAAGGCCAAAAAAAGAAGAAGAAGAAGAAGATGTCGGACTGAAAGCGTGGAGACGAACACCACATTTTTGCCATTAGGGTCTCTAAAGTATGTACTACGTAGACGGGGAATTTGGCTTAAGGACAATTAGTCCGAAGGGCTAGAGGACAAGTCAGTATCTCTCGGAATTCAGTTTTCTTGATCCTCGAACTGACTAGTTCATTCTCGGAGATCGGCCCCATTCTATAATTTATTAATCTTTTTAACCTAGCGAAGTGTATTACCAGCTTAACTGCCTACCATCTTTTCTAAGTATAGTTCGGTGTACTCTGGGTCTTATTATTTCGAGAGTAAAGAAGCGATATAATATATCAAAATAGGTTACAACAGGATCAATTTCCCTGAAAAAAATAAGTTTCTTGCATAGCTACCCGATCCACTCACGAATTTGTACCACGTTCAAGCATTTGGCCCCACTGTGACGTTGCTGCTAGTTACGCTAAAAGCAGTTTATTCACCAGCTATTTACATTTCTACAGGTAACAATTTTCCTGTTATTATTTTATTATTATTTATTTCCAAGTAGCAAAAATAATTGCACCATCGTGTTCCCAGGGAAATTTTACATCGGTTTTATGCTATTGCTTAATAAAATTAAATAAATTTATGTCATGTTTTGGACAATTACTAAGCAAGAGAGGGGAAGTGTATATCTCCGGCGGTGAAACGTATTTGGGGAGTAGTAGAGCGCGCACGCTACATGTATCGGCTGAGTCGCAGTTGACAGCTCTAGCAGGTGTGCTTCTTTGGAATATAATGCGATTTCAAATATAATTAGCCTGCAGTTGTAGTGGATTTTTTTTTGCTACTTTAATTTTTAAATGAAAAACCAAAAATATTACTAATGATTAATGAATGAACAGAAAAAAATTTTTAGAATGAAATACTTATTGCAAAAATGAAATATACAGGGTGTCCCGAAATTAGGGGGTAATATTTCTACAGGGTGTTCTGTGTCGAAAAAGATTACTTTTTCTTTATATAAACGTGGGTCCAAAAATTCTTCCTAAATTTACCATAACTTTTTTGTGCGTTGACTTTTTTTAACTTTTGAAAAGTATGAAATTTCATGATTTTTTATTAAAAAAAGGTACTCTTGGTTCATATTGGTAGAATGTTCCATTTTTGTGTAAAATCCGTTTAAAAATAATGTTATATGTGTTAATCATCGGGAATTGAAATTGTCAATATCGCAGATTTTGAATAACAAATATGCGTTTGACGTTATTTGCATTGACAGTTCAGTTATTTAGTTTTTGTGAATTGTTATCTTCATAAAAATTCTCGAATCTTTAGTAAATGATTATTTGACAAAGAAAAAAAAAACAAATTATTTGCAGCCAAATAAATGAATCCTCTGTTGTAATTCTTCCAAATGATTTATTTCTGTAGCATAAACTACAGCCTTCAACCTACCCCACAGAAAGTAATCTAGAGGATATAGGTCTAGAGACCGAGGTGGCCATGGAATGGGACCATCTCTACCTATCCACTTGAAAGGAAAATTACCGTTTAACCAATTTATGACATTATGGGTAAAGAGAGGTTGTTGATAGTGTAATGTTAAGCGTACTTTTAACGGTGTATCATCCAATAGTTCTCTTACATCATTTTGCAGAAAGTTTAAGTATCCTTCTGTATTCAGACAAACGGGAAACTGGATTGGTCCAAGTAGCTAGGTCCCCTAAAATTCCTGTTCACAAATTTATTGCAAATCTATTTTGAAAATTTGTGCGCTGTATTGCCTGTATTTAATGGATTTTATACAAAAATGGAACATTCTACCAATATGAAACAAGAGTACCTTTTTTTACTAAAAAACTGAAATTTCATACTTTTCAGTCAAAAGTCAAAAAAGTCAACGCATAAAAAAGTTATGGTAAATTTTACCCCCCTCCCCCCCAGTGTTGGAACGTATGTGATGAAAATTTGTAAATTTCGTTTCAGTAGCGGACTGAACACGTAAGAGTTAAGCTAATTACCAAATTTTATAAATTTATCTCTACTGGTTTCGGAGTTATTTAGAAAAAACCATCATCAGATTGTCCCCTTTAATCGGCTATAACTTCCTTAGGAAGAATTTTTGGGCCCACATTTATATAAAGAAAAAGTATTATTTCTCGACATAGAACGCCCTGTAGAAATGTTGCCCCTAATTTCGGGACACCCTGTAGTTCTCTGAAAAATTGACTAGTAAAGCCAATTCTACAAATACTTGTTCATAAAAAAAGTAAAAATTTGTATAAACAATTCTTCACAGAATGACAACCTTTTATTTCTTAATTTTAAAGATAGTAAACTTTTGAGGAATTGAATAATGAATAAAATAAGCCTAGTAGTCCGGACGAATTAGGTTTTTTTTCAAAAATCGGGCCTACCTCGAATTTTATGGGCTTAAAATTAAGTAAAAAATACACAGAATAAAAGCCTAAATTTGTGTATTTGTAGAGATCGAGCGTCATATTGTTTATAACAAAAGAAAATAAAATAATTGCTTTTTTTCAGTTTTTCGCTTATATCTCCGAAAATAAGCCTCTAATCGATATGAAGTGTACTTAATGATTTTGTTCCTGAGGAAATTTGCCACAAGGGTAGGCTTTTGCGAAAGCTCACAACATTTTTTTTATTGCAAAATTAGCGGCGAAAAGAAAAATGTGCTAAATTTCGTAGACAACAACAGTTAATTTTAAGACAATATTTTATACGTCGACCTCTTCTGAGCACGCAAATAAAGTCGATTTAAAAAAAAGCATCTCGGTAGCTGCCTTCTAAATGCCACAATCCATTTGTTAAGGAAGAATTTTGCGAAGATGAGCGCAGCAAGGGCATTACGACGTCACAGCACTCCCCTCTCCTGACTACCGTTCAGTTCACTTGATCATTTCTGGGTCGAATCGTTTAAAAAAAAATTCAGCGTATAAAGGAGGTCTTCTACTTCACAACGAGCCCAAATTTATTACAAAATAGTAAATAGAACAGCCAGAATAAAAAAAAATATCTCGGCTCCTATTGGTTGGATCGAGACGCTTTTTTTTAAGAAATTTATGTTTTTTAAGCACTCTTTCATGCAATTGGTTTGAAATCTGTATATTAAAAAATCGCCGAGAAAAGGATCCTAGTTACCGTTTTTTTTTAGTTTTTTGTTAATAACTTTTTTATTTTGCAACTTAAAAATCTGACATTTGCACAGACGCGAGATAATGTAATTACCTTTCGACTCTTTTCTGCCGAATTTCGATATCTTGACTTGGGCAGAAGATATACCCGCTCCCGTTTTCGAATATATAATTTTGCAATACACCGCCATTTTGAAATTGGGGGTCTGGATTCCAGGTATTTGTTGAACACCCCAACAGTTATTTTTTCCTGTAGGTTCATCCAACTTCAATCAAATTAGTTCTTCTTATTTAATTCTGAAAATTTAGCACATTTTTCTTTTCGCCGCTAATTTTGCAATATAAAAAAAATGTTGTGAGCTTTCGCAAAAGCCTACCCTTGTAGCAAATTTCCTCAGGAACAAAATCATTAAGAAGTATACTTCATATCGATTAGAGACTTATTTTCGGAGATATAAGCGAAAAACTGAAAAAAAGCAATTATTTTATTTTCTTTTGTTATAAACAATATGACGCTCGATCTCTACAAATACACAAATTTAGGCTTTCATTCTGTGTATTTTTTACTTAATTTTAAGCCCATAAAATTCGAGGTAGGCCCGATTTTTGAAAAAAAAACCTAATTCGTCCGGTTTACTAGGCTTATTATATTCATTATTCAATTCCTCAAAAGTTTACTATCTTTAAAATTAAGAAATAAAAGGTTGTCATTCTGTGAAGAATTGTTTATACAAATTTTTACTTTTTTTATGAACAAGTATTTGTAGAATTGGCTTTACTAGTCAATTTTTCAGAGAACTACAGGGTGTCCCGAAATTAGGGGCAACATTTCTACAGGGTGTTCTATGTCGAGAAAGAATACTTTTTCTTTATATAAACGTGGGTCAAAAATTCTTCCTAAGGAAGTTATAGCCACTTAAAGGGGCCAATCTGATGATGGTTTTTTCTAAATAACTCCGAAACCAGTAGAGATAAATTTATAAAATTTGGTAATTAGCTTAACTCTTACGTGTTCAGTCCGCTACTGAAACGAAATTTACAAATTTTCATCACATACGTTCCAACACTGGGGGGGGGGGGGGTAAAATTTACCATAACTTTTTTATGCGTTGACTTTTTTGACTTTTGACTGAAAAGTATGAAATTTCAGTTTTTTAGTAAAAAAAGGTACTCTTGTTTCATATTGGTAGAATGTTCCATTTTTGTATAAAATCCATTAAATACAGGCAATACAGCGCACAAATTTTCAAAATAGATTTGCAATAAATTTGTGAACAGGAATTTTAGGGGACCTAGCTACTTGGACCAATCCAGTTTCCCGTTTGTCTGAATACAGAAGGATACTTAAACTTTCTGCAAAATGATGTAAGAGAACTATTGGATGATACACCGTTAAAAGTACGCTTAACATTACACTATCAACAACCTCTCTTTACCCATAATGTCATAAATTGGTTAAACGGTAATTTTCCTTTCAAGTGGATAGGTAGAGATGGTCCCATTCCATGGCCACCTCGGTCTCTAGACCTATATCCTCTAGATTACTTTCTG